AAAAATTGCCAGGCTGTGGTAAAGCTTAAGCTGGATAAAAAAACAGGTTTTATGCTGCTTAAGTTCGACGTGGACGGTCGTGTAGAATTAATTTGTGACAGGTGCGGAAACAATTTACAGTTACAATTGTGGGATGAATTTAATCTTGTTGTAAAAATAGTAGATGATCCTACGGCAATGAATGAAAGGGAAGATGACCCGGATATATATTATATAAGTAAAGGAGAAAGTCATCTGCATGTGGCAGACTGGATTTATGAGTTTATCAACTTAAGCATTCCAATGCAAAGAATGTGTAAAGAAGATGAAATAGGAGGACCGCAATGCAACACAGAAGTGCTTGACAAACTTAAAAAGATGGAAGAGGACGCAAAAACAGCAGAAACCGGTTTTATCTGGAAAGGACTTGACCAATTTAAAGATTTACAATAAAAATTTTGATATTTAAAATTTAAGATATGCCTAATCCTAAACGGAGACATTCGCAGCAAAGAAGCGCTAAAAGAAGAACACATTATAAAGCCGAGCCGGTTACTTTAAGCAGAGATACGACCACCGGCGAACTTCATGTACGTCATCGTGCGCATGTGAGCGAAGGAAAATTGTACTACAAAGGCAAGGTAGTTTCTGAGAAAGCGCCCTTAAAAGCCTGATAAAAAATTGATAGCAAACAAAGAATTATATATACAGTTAGTATAAATAATTCTTTGTTTGTTCGTTAAGCTACTTTATAGAATTTAGCTTAACAAAACCGATAAGTCAAATACAAATCTAGGCAATACATTTTCGCCGGATAGTTGTTTATCAAAACCTTTGACTTTATCTGCAGTTCCGTCTGCGCGGTAAATGTGTGTTACCTGCCTTTTTGGATCAATTAGCCAGCCAAGCTGTGTTCCGTTTTGTATCCATTTGTTCATCTTAGTCTGCGCCGCCGGTAAATGATCTGCGGGTGACATTAGCTGAACAAGAAAATCAGGAGCAAAAGGTAAAAACAAGGTTTTTTGTTTAGCAGACAGACCATCCCATTTTTCTTTAACTACCCAGGCTGCATCAGGACTTCTCATAGATCCGTCGGGCAACTCAAATCCCGCCGAACTGTCAAAAACTACACCTAATTTAAACTGTGTGTTCCAAATTTCTATTGCAGTTGCAATTTTTATATGTTTTCTTCCCGATTCTCCACCTACTGGCGCCATAATAAATATTTGGTTTTCTTCGTCACGTTCTATACGTAGATGCTTGTTTGCGGCACAAAATTCAAAAAACTCTTTTTTGTTCATTTCTTCTTTATCCGGCAAATAC